TGAACAATTATAACTAACTATATCATATAATTACTCCTTAAGATGTGATTAAGTGTAGCAAACGATTGAAAAAAAATCACTTTGTATTCTAATAGACTAAGCTATCAGTCACCATGTCTTGTAGAGAACGCTAAGAACAGTATCATGACAAACTCATAAACTGTTTGTCTATTTATATGACTCTGATTTTTATAAAATCTCTTGGGAACTATATAATAGGTATCAGAGAAAATCGATAAACCCTTCTTGTAAGTAGTTCATTTCATCTTCTTTCAGATGTAGTGATTTTGATAACAGAAACAGTAAATCACATTAAGAAGAGTGAGCAATAAAGTTTTTCAAGTCTAGGGAATCATTTTAACCAGGTAATTGAAGAAAAATTTATGAAAAAGATTGATCATGATGCGACATCATAAAAAGCTTTTCGGCAATACTATTTCAGTAAACCATTTTTGAGTAAAACCTGTAGTACTCTATAGTGAAAAACATAACACACCAATATAATCAAAAATGGATAGTGGCTAGCAGTGGAATCAAGAACGCGCGTTTCGTCCTATTTGGGACTCGTCAGCCAGATGTACCTGCATCTCAGAACCACTATCCGTCTATGCTCATAATGCTTGTGAATAAAGGCTATATCGAGGTAATACACACAGTATGCACATATGCTAATAAGAGACTGACCGGTTGCGATCCTAAGCATCTTTAACTGTTTTAAATTTCAAAGTTTTTTTTGCAATATAAGTTTTTATACTATATTAATTAACTGTTGAATTACTTGAAGATTTTATCTTTTGTACTTTCAATTACTACCATCAATTCTTTTACATAGTTGTGGATGACAAAATACTTTTTTTCAATTTAGATCCTGTACTAATTCTATCATTCATTTATACGTCAAGTTTATTTTCCTACTTTCGTTGTAGGTTGAAACATTTAAAGCAAGCAATAACGATATTAATATGACTAACATAATGTCCTTTACGTTAATAAAGTCATTCGTTTAAAAGTTTGATTAAACATTTCTCAGAACTGGTAATAGCTCATTTAAACAATGGTATTTAATAGATGAGTATTATGAGTGAAGAGAAAGTGAGGTAGTATAGAAAAGACTCTATATACTGGACTTCTTTTTGCAACAACAAGTAAGACAACATTATAAAACTACTAATTAGAAAATTATTGCATAGAATGTGCTTACACTTGGTAAGATCATTTTACCATGGTATCAAGTAAATAATAGTTGCTACTCTCACATTTGTTGTTACACTAATCAAAGCTATGTCAATATACCTAATAGATCTCATTGTTGGGTACACTTTTTGATATCCCATTTTTCACGAAAACTGTGCCATTTTGGCATAAACTAAAAGTACTTATCAGATGGACATCTCATGAATCCAGTATTGTCCAATCATCCTTCAAAACAAAGGAGGAGGGAATCACAATGAATGCTGTCCAGTTACATGCACTCAGCAATGATAGCAGCGACGACGATAAAGATCAATTCTACAAAAGGCTGAGGTCGATCGTACAGAAGTGATCAGGAAATGATCCAACCATCCTGATGGGAAACCTTGAAGTCAAGTTGGAATCGACAACACCGGGTTTGAATATACCATGGGATGACATGAACTGACTAGGAGGAAGGAACAATAATGTCGAAAGATTTGCAAACTGATGTGCATTCAACAAATTGTTTATAGATGGCGTAATATTCCCACACAAACGCGCTTACAAACCCATATGAGCGTCACTGGATCACATTACAGAGAATCAAGTTACTTAATGTTCGATGACCGGATGCCATTAGCAACAGCCTACTCTGAACAAGAACAAACCAGATTTCATTGGAAGAGGAAATTAAGAAAAGACGATAGAGATGCATAGATATACATTACGGAAATTATCAAACCACGCTACCAGGCAAGCGATAACTTGTAATGCTGAAGGGAATAAAGGAAAAAGAAGGCCAAAGAACATATAATTTCTGAGGTTGGTAGTAAACATCAAAAGAATAAATAGTAACTTGAAAGAACTGGAAAGGATTGCTCATGACACAGTTGGATGAAGAATGTTGACAGGGGGGAGGTTACTAGGCGTAGATAAGTAAGTAAATATCATGTATATGATGCTTATCTGTGAAACAATTTCAGCTTTGAAACCCCCCCCCTCCATTTATATCCTTTTTAAATCCATACTAATTTATAAAATGACATTAAATAATCTAAAAATTAACCAGAAACAAATAATAAAAAACCTATTCCCAAAAAACTTACAATCAACTGACCATTTTATAATATTACAGAAACTAAAGTTGTTTCCCATTATTTTTTTTGTCATCTATATTAACCATTAACGATAACAATTTAAATGGATAAACAACTTATTCCCTCCATTTCTATAATTTGAAAAAAACAAAAAAAAAATTTAATTCACTTCTAAGGTCATTTTAAAATTCTTTTTTTAGACTACTCTTATAAATAAACAAAAAAAAAACTTTTATCATTCTTGTGAAAAGTTTATCTATTTAAAATGAGCTCAAGTTTTTTTTTCTTTTTTTTCTTTGGAAAATGATTGACCTGAAAAATTATAATTATACTTGTAAAACTTTAATTTTTAAAAAAAAAAGAAGAAGAAAATGAATGTTCTAGAAAAACAAAATAGAAACGTTAAAGAAAAATCTTTCATTAAAAATTTATTTTAATAAAATGAAACATTTTTTTTTTGGTTGATAAAATAAACCTATTCGTTTTAATGTATATAACAAAAATAATTCTTAATATTTGGATGGAGTTTTGTTCTCGGAGATGGATGGTTTGGTTGTGGAACTTTCATTGTCCTTTAGAATGATATCATCAGTACAAATGTCGGGTAGAAGTGAAGCGTTTGAATTTCTTCACGTGTGATTCACAGATTGTCCTGTGCACCTCTATGTTGATTTTAGGTCAATAAGAACCAATCAACATTGAGGTGTACAGAACAATCTGTGAATCACATGTGGAGAAACACAAACAATTCACTTCTACCCGACATTTGTACTGATGATGTCATTCTGAAGGACAATGAAAGCTCCACAACCAAACCATGCAGCTCAGAGAACAAAACTCCATCGAAATCATCAACCTGAGCTACAAATCTTCTCCCCCATCCCATAATTCTTAATATGAAAATAGGTTACTTTTAAATTGAAGAATAGAATATATTCCTATTATTATTATTATTGGCTTAATAGAAAGATGATAGAAATAAAGATTTCATCTCACTCTGATGATAAGTCGATGATCTGCTTGAATATCTAGGTTTACATTTACATATTCCAACAAGTTATCTAAGTTTGTTTGTTTTAACACATCATTATGTTCATTAATTGAACAAAGTATGAAGGTGAGTTAATGAAAAGTCTACATTTCATTTTGCATGTTTCAAAAAAACGCCCAACCGGAGACATCATGGTTGGTGGAAATATGTAGTGAAAAGAATGAACATTACTCAGATATCGATTCCTGAACTGTTAACTTTTAGCTATTGACCACTCAATATTTGTCGTCAGGGTCGACCAAAATGTAAGATAGAGAAACTTTCAAAGTTGAGATTATGAGTCAATTGAAGCTATATCACCATGGAAAACCTGGAAGCACTGAACGGCCGTTTCGACATTAACACCGTTGGATGCCGGCTCAGTTGTCTATCGGTTAAGTGCTCAGGCACGAGACTAGTAGGTCCTGGGTTCGAATCTCAAGAGGCGGGATCGTGGATGTGCACTGCTGAAGAGCCCCATAATAGGGCGAAACGGCCGTCCATTGCTTCCAGGTTTTCCATGGTTGTCTATCTTCAATCAACTCATGATTTCAACTATGAGAATACTGAAATCTTCACAAACCCCCTTCTGATCTATAGAGGAACTTGTTGAAATACTTTGTGGTGAGAATTCTATATTGTATCAAAAATATAATATTGAATGAAGCTAATATTAATAAATAAAATATATTTGCTAACTGAGGCCATTCTTTTTCCTGTCGAAAGATTGTAGTCAAAAACTAATTAACTTCTCTTTCAAAACATTATTCATATAATTGTAACTAGATATTATGTATGTTGATTAAAAGTGCTTTCTATCACTATCCAACGTTAAAGACAATAAAATGATCTCGTTAGCATAGATGGTTATGATAGTTTTAATTGGTGAAAATTATGAGTACTTTCTGATCAGGTTATGATATGTAAATTTCGATACGAACTTACAAACTGTATGAACACATTTTCAAACTGCTTCAGAATTATCACTATATATTTAATGTACCCTTTATAATGTAAACTTTGGTACAGAAGTTCAAATTTATTATCTGAGATATCATAAGTGACATGCTGTCAATTAGGAAAAACAGTACTGTTGTGGTATATACTACTCGTACTAACAGATAAAAGTAGCATGTATCATGAATCAAAAATACGATTCTTACGGAGAGGAGAGGAATCTGGTAAAAAGACTAGGCGAAATAAAAAGTAGTCAAAATAAGAATAGGAATTGAAGAGAGACAAGTTTGTAAGAAACAACTCAAGGAAGATTGGTAAATAGTGTATTTAATGTATTGTTTTCATGTTTTACAATATCAGTGTGCGATTTTGCGTATTACATGGTTTTCTATCAAATGCTTCCTTAATTACACCGTTAGAATAATAAGACGTAAAGTAACTCATTTCATTACTGCTACATTTAAAGGTATGGTACATCTGAGCAACAAATCAACTTTGACATAGATGGAACGACTATCCAGTTTACACTAGTTTTATCAGTCTTCGGATGGATGTTAGTCTTTGAGAAAAAACAATTTGGGATTCACCTCCGTCAAAATTCGATATCAGTATTCTGAATTTCTAAATTTTTCATGCTCAAGATCTCATTAAAAATTTATATCCCAAACTTGGTTTGTTTTTATAGTGAAACATGTCATGTTATTATTACCATTGTTTTGCTATTTTTTTCAATAAATTTTTAGATTCAAAGAGGGACAAGCCAAATTTCAGACTGTGGTAAACATTATGAAGATCATAGTAAACAGTTGTCAAGATATATGATGTATATTAGTAAGAAATTAATCAGCTGGTTTAGCCAAACAAACACCAAAAATGAAGTTATTAATAATAATGATATAAACGAAAATTCAATGAATTATCATTCCGATAAAAAACTATCATATGAAGATTCTATCAGTCAAAGTGAACATGAAATGTATAATAGTAATAGTAATAATAATAATAAATCTACACTTCAATGGACATCGAATGGTGTGAATATTCCAATACCTACTATAGAACAAGAAACATGGAATCATTTAGAACGTACCAGTTGGTTACCTTATTTAGATACAGTTGATGATTACCTAAGAAAAGTAAGTAAGCAAAGGTGTATAGATATTTTGAAATATTGGTAGAACAGTCATTTGATTTTTGACAGTTGTACACTTGTATAAATAATCTATTTCTAACGATAAAATGATAAAGTGACTACTCAAACTTCCGTGTACTTTAAGATAATAAATCATGACTGTACTTTAAAGTTACCAGTGATAGTTGGTCAAATAATCTAAGGATGGAAATCTATACTTTTTTATATTTTCATCATATATTATGACTAATAACCTAACTACTAATTTACTAAAATGGGTTCGGTGAAACTATTTCTTGACATTGATTTACGAAAATTCCAATCGATTCTTATCACAAAAAGTATTCTTAATTGTTCACCCTGTATACTAATAAAAATGGTTTTCCACACTACAAGATTGATAATTAAGCCGAAGATAAAGAATAGAGTCAATATAAAATAAGAGACCAAACACTTTCAGAGAAAACCATGGTATTCGATGTTTCTTAAGACTTCAGAAGGGGTTTTGTATTTTCATAGTTGAAATCATGAGTCAATTGAAGCTAGACTTCATTTATTAAAGAAATCAAACAATACTAACCATACTTAATAAACGTACTGAATAGTTTCACTAGGAGAGTTCACATTCACAAATGTTCGCATATCTTATGTTTTCTACCTGTTACATTCTTAATAGTTTGGGACATTTTTTGATTAAATCACAAGCGAAAGACTGTCAAAATTCATTTATATTGGATTTTTAGTCATTGTTGATAGATATAGTTTAGTCTATTCAGTTGTACATATCAAACAGCTTACATCTCTTCAAGCAATTCACAGTTATGACAATCAATATTCAACCATCAAGACATTCCCTTAAAAAACAATAAGTATTATGTCATCTAGTTGATCAATTCTTTCTACAATTTATCATTTTTGAAACCATCTGATCAAATCCAAAAGAGATTACTTTAACAACCATGAATCACTGTTAAAATCAAATAACATGTGGCATTTTAGGACATCCAGTTACCTGAAAAAAATAATTTTCATCTCAATTGTCAAGAGTTTGAATCGCGGTACATAGACTTCATTTTCTTGGTATTCAGAAATAAATGTAGGACCTCTAATAACATAATTTGTTTGTTGAGCTTTATATTATTGAAATGTAACGCTCATAACATGAAGGGGTTCATTTAATTATCAAAAAGACAACAATTTTTTCATACTTGTCAAGATTTCGTATTCATAGATTTACAGAAAAATCTCTATGTTTGCTTAGTTATTAAACTGACTAATATAAAGAAAGGTTGCATTCATTCTTCAATCGAAAATCCTGCTTCTACCTGATCATATACAAGATACCAAGCAGTGAAACTGAAAAAAACACTCCATAGAACTTTATTTGTTTAAACGGCCTATCAAAGACTTAATTTCCTAATTGTCCGACATATTTTTCTTCACAAAGAATGTATAAACTAACTGAACTATTCCTTCTTCAACCTTTTGTATAGACAAGAGATGACTTGGACACGAAAGTTATTGACTACTGGGCACCATATGATCAACTCTTAGCCAATCTTCTTACAAACCCATGGCTTGCACCAGCATATAGGGCATTAAATACATCATGGTTGCAAGAGAGGCGAATATCATTTATGGATCGAACATATTTTGGATTAGTATCAAGTGATTTTGACTCGGAAGATGAAAATCAATCGTCAAACGATTTAACTGCTTTAAATGGTGCCAAAGAAACACAATCTTTAATGCTAGCCAATTTTATTGGTGTTCCACAACCTGCACATGCTCGTTTGGCTGGTACAAGAATTTGGAATAGGTAAGCGATTTATATAACATCGATATATTTTTTTCATACTGGCATTTTTACCGATGAAAAATAAGTTGGAAGAAATCGAGAGGAGGTCAAATCAGAATTTTACAACTGTAATAAATGTTCAAGATGCTAGAATAAAGAGGTTAGGTAATAAACACACTCGGAAAGTGAATAATTACGAGAAGGATAAAGTCCAATTAAATAAAATAAGATTACTAATATAGAAGATAGTCGAAGTAAAAACATATAATGATGTAATTAATTGAAAGAAATAGTTTAAATGAATTCTTATGATATGATGAAGGAATATTTATCACCAAGTCAAAGAAAGGTTAACAACTATCTCATTTTGAACACATAAATCAAGTATCTGAAGCTCAATAGTAAGGCCTTCAGTAAACAATAGAAGATTGGGGATTGACTAATAATTATTAACACTGTAAGATTTGAGAATATTGATTGATCTCCTATATTCAAGAGATGTTTAGTAGTTGCTCTGTTCAAAGTAGTTCTCTCTCTTAATCGAAAGCTTTTGAGAACATGTTCAAAGTAATCGAATACTCCCTCTTTTCCTTTCGACCAATGCAGCTGCTCTGAGAGTTGCATGTACAGTTGGTGGTAAATAAATGCAATACTTGTCGACCTTTTCTTGAGTTATTAAATAAATTGTTTTAAACAGAATCAGTTGTTCGGCTGCAGGATAGGTTATGGTTAACACTTTGCTAAATATCCTACTGAATGTTCTTGCGGTTTCCTCAACTCCGATGTTGAGATTGACATTTGCTGACTTTATATTTACTATAGGCAAATCTGTCTTGTAGTCATTAGTCTCTTTGCATTTCAGTTTAAGGATATCCAATAGAGGTTAACAATCGATTTAGTCACTTAATCATTTCAAAATGGAATAATATTGAAAATATAATCAATGAGGTTTTTATGCCTTTGGATTTCTGAGTTGAAAAGATTAAATAGGTAAATAGGTTAACACATTCATTGCCTTCATCTATAGGATTATAGCTAATCACCTATAAACTTGTATTAAAACAAATTAATTAATAAAATTCTATGATCATTTTATAAATAAAGATCAGGCTATGATTAAATTTGTCAAGTATTTATTGTTATTGTAAAAAAGGTGTTTCTTTCTAACTAGGTCAATAAAATAATCTCCTTTATTCTACGGACATTTTCTAGGGTCTTTTCATTTCCGTTATACCATATATATATATATATGCGAATATGGGGGATTTATTACAAACAGTCGTTTAGTAGATACTTCCATAATAAAAAAAATAAAAGAAATCAATAATTAGGTTTCCATTATAATAATCTGATGAAAAATAGACATAAAGTTCAGAGTAAGCCGTTTATGACAAAATTGAGTATTTCCATTTCATTCATTCAAAATAATGAGCTAGTAGAAACCGAACATTAAACATTAGCTTAAAGAAGTTTTTTCTCGGGTTGTATATTTCAGAAAATTATCATAGTAACTCATTTTCCAATTAATAGACTTAACTTTTATCCTAAAATTATCTAGATCGGTGCGATCACTGAAGACTTCGATAAGTTATAGATTTGTTATGATTATTATTGTTACATATGATCAATAGACAAATTAAATGAATGTATATACAAGAGTTTAGTATGTTATTCAGTGTCTTGAACGAATATTGAAATAATATTCTCATGAACACATTGAACTACATTGATTTACAGTGATTATTATTGTTGCATCATGCTGTGACAATATCACTTTACTGCATAATCAAAAAGAAATTCTAAATTTGAATATCATTTCTTATATAATTTCAAGATAACCAGAGATGCTTTCTTAAGCTACTTTTGGATTATAATGAACTTGAGTCAATGATCTGAAGAAACTGTTTACTATGAGTAATTTTGATCCATTACATGTTTTACCTTCAAAAGTTACATAGGTGAAAGAGAGTGTTAATTTGTTGTCATTTTGACGGAGTCTCGAAGATTGTTGTCTTTGTGACTTCTATAACAAAATGAATGAAGTTAGAAATATTAACCAATCAGTACCAATTGAGCGGCCTAAATGTTTGGCACTCCCCGGTAATTCATAGACTTTTGGGTTCGATCCCTGTTACGGTTGTAAATATACATTCCTGGCGAGTTCCATACTAAGATGACACTGTTTATAGCTTTTCTCCGTATTATAATAACTGTCTAGAAAAGAGATTTCGAACGAGTAAAAAAACGAATAATTTAAATGGTATTAAATACCACAAATATCAGTCAACCATTTAGAATCAATATGTGGTCTGACATATATGTTTATCTGTCCAAGTTTCCAAGTATCAGTTCAGTATATACCAAGAGAAGTCATTACCAAGATAGAAGGTAGAAACATTCAAAATAAGAATAGTAATTCAATGAGTAAACTGAATACCAGAAATATAAAATAAAAAGGATAATTGGGGTTGAAAGTAAATTAGAAAGCTAATAAGATTTCATCACTACTTTTAATTTTGGCTCGTATCAAACGAACAAAATAAATGATAGCAGTCTTACTGTACGGAGCTGAAGTATGAAGAACTAATACATCCATCGTCAAGAAGGTACAAATATTTATAAACAGTTGTCTACGCAAGTTACTCATCAGTCACTGACCGGATACTATCAGCAACAGCGTTTTATGGGAGAAGACAAACCAGCTTCCAGATGAAGAGGAAATCAGGAAAAGACGTTTGAAGTGGATGGGACATACATTGAGGAAATCACCAAACTACATCACGAGGCAATCGCTTACTTAGAATCCTGATTGGAAGTGAAAAAAGGAAGGCGGAAGAACACATTACTTCGGGAAATAAAAGCAGATATGAAAAGGATGAATGTTAACTTTAAAGAACTGGAAGGGATTGTACATGACAGGGTTGGATAAGGAATGGTGTTTGGCAACCTATGCCCCTCCACGAGGGGTAACAGGCATAAGTAAGTAATTTTTTGACTACGATTTCTTTCATTTACATCTTACTTATTCTCTCTCTTTCATATTCTCAATTCATTATGGATTCAATTACATTCAATTGATATATTTTTCTTTATTATGAGTTCTTTTGTTTACAAAATCATATGACTGTCTACATATCTATTAATCAAACTACCTACATGTCTATATATTTATCCGTCAATCTGTCTATCTGTTTATTCTGTTAATAATGAAGATTAGTGTCTTACTATTGAGAAACAATAAAGGATATAGATTAAAGGTATAATTTCTGTTTTCCTATGAAATCCTTCATAGTTTTTTTTTACTTCAATTGATTCAATAATGTTTATGAATGAAGCAGACTGAAAAATTTTTAGAGACCGATCAATTGATTGTCTGTTTTCATTGATATAAAGAACATCTTCACAGAAGTAAATAAATAGGAACTAATTTTGGTATCCGAATTAAATACTATGTGATATTAACTTAGTGACGGCTTCATCAATAAATTATCCCATGTTTCTACAAACTCAATTACCAAGCCTATTATCTTTCAATGAATAGTTTGATCTTTATAATTGTCTTTTGAACGAAACATTTAAGCAGCGTTTAATTTCGAGCAATGGAAAACTAACGATACTAGAAATTTCATAGTCTAATAGAACTTTTCTGAATTCAATTATATTATACAGAATGTTCATTGCTTTATATAGTGGAGTTGGAAACATTGTCTATATATGCATAAAATTCCTTAGGACAATTGAAGATAAGAGAACCAGAAGAGGAGATGACATAGCTTCAGATCACCATCTGGTTGTGGCTAAGATAAAACTGAAGCTAACGAAACATTGGACAACTATGGAAACAGAATTACAAAGTTTCAAACCAGCCTTCCTTCAACATACTTACAAACTCAACAAATTCAAGCTAACTTTCAACAACAGGTTTCAAGCTTTACACATTCTACTGAAAGAATAAGAAACTACGATGGAGGACAACAGGAAAGAGATCAAAGAAACACCAATTTCAACATGTAAGGAGGTCCTGGACCCCAAGAAGCATCATCATAAGGAATGGATCTCTATGGGAACCCTCAAATATATTCAACAGGGGTAGAACAAGAAATTAGCAGTTAACAACAGTCGAACAAGAGCAGAGAAAGTCAAGGCACAAGCAGACTACACAGAGGCAAACAATTAAGTGAAGAACAGCATTAGAGACGACAATCATAAATATATGGAAGACTTAGCAACAACAACGAAAAAAGCTGCAAGAGAAGGGTATACGATACAATGAAGAAACTGGAAGGGAGATGTAGTAAACCGGAGAGACCATTCAAGGACAAAGAAGGAAAGACAATCACAGAGATTGGGAGGAGGAACAAAGCCAACGGATTGGAAAGAAGGATACCTCATCAAAATCTGAGCAAATGCAAGAATTACAAACGCATCAGTTTGTTTTCAATGCCAGGAAATTTTTAAATGGAGTGTTGCTGAACCGGATGAAAGACGAAGTAGACGCTCGACTTCGAGATCAACAGGCTGGATCCCGTAAGGATCGGTCTAGCACAGACCAAATCGCGACACTACGGATCACCGTGGAACAATCAGTTGCGTTTAATTCGTCACTTTACATCAACCTCATTGACTATGAGAAGGAGTTTGACAGTGTGGACATGAGAACGTTGTGGAAACTTCTTCGACATTATGGAGTTCCTCAGAAGATTGTCAACATTATCCAACACTCATACGATGGACTACAGTGTAAAGTGGTGCATGGAAGACAGCTGACAAATGCATTTCCAGTAAGAACCGGAGTCAGACAAGGCTGTCTACTCTCTCCCTTTCTCTTTCTTCTAGTGATTGACTGGATGGACAGGTTGGATGCAACTAGACGGCTTGGACTTTGCAGATGACCTATCCCTCCTATCTCATACTCATGAGTAAATATAGACAAAGACAACAAATGTAGCAGCAGATTCTGCAGCAATAGTCATCAACATAGACAAAGGAAAAAGCAAGATTCTCAAGTACAACACGGAAAACTACAACCCAGTCACACTTGATGGCGAAACTCTTACACATACTTGCGAAGCATCATTGATGAAGAAGAAGGATCTGGTACTGATGTAAAGGTGAGGATTGGCAAATCAAGGACAGTATTCCTGAAATTGAAGAACATATGGAACTCAAAACGACTGTCAAATAATTTCAAAGTGAGAATCTTCAATACGAACATCAAGACAGTCCTACTGTACGGAGCTGAAGTGTGAAGAACTAATACATCCATCGTCAAGAAGGTACAAATATTTATAAACAGTTGTCTACGCAAGTTACTCATCAGTCACTGACCGGATACTATCAGCAACAGCGTTTTATGGGAGAAGACAAACCAGCTTCCAGATGAAGAGGAAATCAGGAAAAGACGTTTGAAGTGGATGGGACATACATTGAGGAAATCACCAAACTACATCACGAGGCAATAGCTTACTTGGAATCCTGATTGGAAGTGAAAAAAAAGGAAGGCGGAAGAACATATTACTTCGGGAAATAGAAGCAGATATGAAAAGGATGAATGTTAACTTTAAAGAACTGGAAGGGTTTGCCCAGGACAGGGTTGGATGGAGAAAAGCCTATTCCCCTCCACAAGAGGTAACAGGAGTAAGTAATTTTAGCAACTATCAGTCAATCGTCTCAGAATTCATTATTTCTGAGTTTGCGTTTCAATCGCTTTCCGTTTCCGTTCTTTTCTCTCCGACCTTCTTGACCTTCTGCCTCCAGACATTCTATTCCGGACTAGCTTTAATAGTACCTATGTCGATATAAGTAGTACATATCACTGAATCTATTGTATTCTCTCAGATAAATATTGATGTTTATATATTTGATGTATGCAACAAATTGTCCAATTGACTTTAAAAATCACAATTTATATCACTAAATAATACCTAGTTTTAAAAAGCTTCAATATGAGAATAATTAACTGAAATTCTTACAAATAATCGTATTTTATCATTATGTGTTCAGATTGGATGGTGATTCCGAATTTGGATGTATTAGTGATAGATTTTTATGTCCCAAGTGTGTAATAAATACTCAGAATGAACATTGATTGCCATTATTTTCTTTCTATTGTTTCCTTTTTTTTAAACAGTTTTCGTAATCTAGTTCCAGGTTTGCCAAGCAAATTCTATTATAAATTAGAACCAAGTTCATTATCGTCATCATCTTCATCATCAGTTCTAAATAAAGATGTCGAATTTCGTAGAAAGCCAAAATTATATCATGATCATCGACAAATGTTATCTAGTGAAGATTGGTACCATATTCCAAGTGGACAGTTGGATTTAGATGAAAAACTGAATATTGATTCATTTACTGATTTAAATACTCAATTCTATCCGTAAGTCAAACACAACTATCATTGTCATAACCAACATTTTTTTGAACATATACACTTGAAAATAACTAACCATAACCTTGACTACGTTTTCATAGATTATTTTCTCGTCAATATCAGACTTTACAAAACTGTTGAATCTTGACGGTTACTAACGTAAAACCTCTGGCGTTTTGAAGAGTTTTTAACTTGAATGTTTATGAAATACACCATACCATACCATATACCTTTTCGGTTGAATAATCTTACATCCTAGAATATTGCATACAAAATGGACATAATAATCCAATATGACCAACTGAGTTTTGGTTGATTGATTAATATATCAAAATATTGTTCAATGTTTTATGCCACAATTGTCTGTATTCTTAACTCATTGTCAAAAGTTTAAGCTTATTCTGATGGTTGTTATTCTGAAAAGACTAGTTGATTCATCAAATAAGATCTAGCTACAGCTACATCACAAGTTCATAGAACTTGTAAGCGATCGAATTTGTTCACATCTAGCACATTATCGCGGGCCATATTGTTTGCTTACGCATATGAAACATTGAAAGGCTTGCACTACCATATAATCTAATATTACTGATCATGAAATTCTAATAGCTTGATTCGTAAATGAATTCAAAGTCAGGGAAAAACCCATTTCAAATGAAATTGAATATATCAGTTTCAGAAATAACCAATGACCTATGAATACAAGTTTAATATAATATACGTCCACAATTGAACCAATTCTATTATTTATCTTACCACCAAAGATTACGAAAATAAAGTTAAGCTTTTATTTTGATCCCGATCATATACTGAAACATTTCATTAATCGTTACTTCATCATATTTTGATGAACAAACTAATCATGATTATACTAGACTAAAAACAACTCAGTCATAAATACACTTAACGTTATAATATTTGTATTAACCTAATTTAATTATCATACTGATATCAATGTTAGTTCCTTTGGCACATTCACACATAGAAACATGTATTTATACAAATGATATGTTACATTTACCTTACATTCTTCCACATAGCTACTAATGATAAGCGGTACATAGAAAAACCAGCTATTTGTAACACTTATTGTAATGTTAATATAAAATGTGTTATTATCAATGCATGTATTCGAAAAATATATGAAGGTATATATATGTATATCTCTAATAGTTACAAATTATAGATTAAATATTATACAATACATGAATGTAAAGTATGCAATCATAGTGTAGACTTTATAAACCAATTCTATACATAAAAGATAGAAAGGTTATTAAGGAAAGAGAGAAAGCTTACTACACTTTGGTACAATGGTATTTACATATACATGTACACATAAAGTGAAATTTTCGTTCCAATAAAATACACTTGTTTCAGTCATATCTATCTGTATATATATATATGCATAGGTATTTGCAAACTGTGTAAGAATTGGATAACTTCTTAAGATCCCTATAACATACCTTAAATGTTTTTTTCTATCTTCCATAAAGTGTGTAATTATATAATAAGTTGAAGTTAATGACAAGATGAAGAGAGGCAAACTCTTATACGTACACGCACACGCACACACACACATTTGGTACAACTCACGTAGTGCTACTTCTTTATCATACCATATTTCTTCACTTGGTTAAAACAAATATGATATTTAAGCTACTTGGTTAGATTAATTGTATTTTAGTTTGTTTTGAAAAAGGAAAGAAAGTAATTATTTATATTCATACATATATAAACCCTATATCTGAAATATATTCATATTATCTAATAATCAAACAAGTAACTGGGTGGTAACAAGAATAATAAAACAAAAAAGAAACGATAATTCGGTAAAGTAAAAATAACTTATTTAGTTTATGAATGACATTTTCAATGTTTATCTTCAAAAGTAGTAACTAAGTCCAAAACAGGTTTACCAATATGTTATAATTTCTTGTAACGGCATCAGTGCTTAAAGTCACTAACTTCTAATCTGAGCCATGTCGGCAGATGCAGACTACTTGGTTAGGGTCCGCGTGACTATCGTAACCAATGGTTGGAGAATGAGGGTGACATGGCTCAGAATCGATCACAATAGCGTAGGTGTATACACTCTTTATCTTCCCTTAAACCTTGAGATTAAAATCGCTTCATAACTTTCTTCCTTCCTATACTTTATCCTTATATATAACCTTTCTTTTATATTTTGCCACCACTAAATTAACTACTTCTATGAATCCGGTGTTCATCTTGTTGTGGTAATGACGAATGGCAACTTCGACCGATGCATATGTGTGCCTAATCCTACATTGTAGCTGACTGACTTACTGAATTTCCTGTAAAAGAATTGAGCCTGTATTTCGGTTAATTAAATGAATTCAATGTATAATGTCAGATTATGTTAACCACTGAAGTTATTCGTTAGTTCAAATAGAATACTTTTAACTAAACAAATAGTTAAACTATTTAAAGATATGCCACGAAATATTTGGAAAATTTAAATTCACCTAGATTTCGACAAATTTCAGATAAGTATGGTTATTGATCAGAAGGGGTTTTGTGGAGATTTTAGTATTTTCAGGGTTGAAATCAGTGGAGTTCTACCAAGTCTATTGTAGAGATATCAACTCACTGAATATAATTGATGAACGGTTGCTCAAAATCGTGGACTGGTTGAAGTTAGACATTAACACCGTTGGATGCCGGCTCAGTGGTCTATCGTTTAAGTGCTCTGGCGCGAGACTGGTAGGTCCTGGGTTCGAATCTCGCGAGTGAGGCATCGTGGATGCGTACTGCTGAGGAGTCACATACTAGGACGAAACGGCCATCCAGTGCTTCCAGGTTTTCCATGGTTGTCTATCTTCAATTGACTCATGATTTCAACTACGAAAAAATATGGTTATTGATAATCATCTGGTGTTATCTGTATTGATGAAAGATTTAGTCAACAGTATAAGGCCATATAAATTAATATTTCTGATCGGTCGAAAAAGGGTTTGTGTTAGTTTCTTATAGTATTCAGTAATTTAATTTCATCAAAGAAGCCTACCCATCAATGTTATATAAACAGAATCTAGTCATATCGGATCAGTTATCGATTTCACTATCGATAGAAGGTGTGTTTGATTATATCTACTTTCAATATTTCGTCCCGCCCCCAAAACCCGTTATTTATGTCAAATAAGTATTAGTGAATGATAATTTACAAGGTTACTCGAAGTATTTATTATTTGGATACAGAAAATGACTATCATATGAGCTGTTCAACTATTGCTTCATTTGATAGAATTTTATGGTGTGGACGTTTTCCCACTAATAACATAGATGAGCTTTATCCAGAGACAATTACATGTCATCGTTTCACAAATAAATGTTTATCAAATGATAAAAAGTTCCTTTCTTTGACGTCGTACCGAAACATCAGTTACTTTACTCCTAAAGTTTATGCTTTTAACTTTTTCAGCGTGTGAGATTATGGATACATGACTTAATTTAAACTTGGTACATTCTGTAAAAGTCCTTGATTATACACCAATATTGATATGCTTCAAGAAAGAAATGTATTCGTTAGCTGTGTGGTCGTCAGGTTTTACAAGTGTTCATCTACTGATCAATATTTTAGAAAATCTGTAGACATATAAAAGTACACTATCCAGGATTAAATAAAGGTCGAATGCAAGCAATGATACATACTTTTATTGAATGAGACTTCAGCCAGGGTACAAATAATAATATAGTATTCTTCTTCTTCACATTCGTTTGCTTCAACTGTAGTAATCTACCGCGAATACTTAAAACAGGTATCTTGTCACTCATGTTTAATCTATTTGAGGATGGTCAAAACCACAGTGAAAACGATTATTTTAACTATGCACGTTTGTCACGACAATGTTTACGGTATAAGGGCCGATTATATTTTGATTTCCGATAAATATTAGAAAATGTAAAATTGTTCGAGTTACTTATTCTTTGTTTAAACTAATAAGGACCAAACATGTCAATGTTTATTAAAAAAATATATATGGAAATCAAATAGTTCTCAAATTTTACGTTTATTCTACCTATGTCCTAGCAACCAATGAAGTCTAATGAACAAGTTTAACGTGCGTTACTCACGGTTGATCAAATTTCACACAGGTTTCATAAATTACGAATACAATTTCGTCATAAATTGATGTAAAGTGATATACTCTTTCCACAGAATTGTTTTCAACCAACTCTTCATATCTTTTATGAGTATTATATTTTTAAAACAAAAAAAACCCTTAACTTTCACAGATATTGATTCATAGTCATTTAAAACAACTCTATCAAGACTCAGTAGTTAAGTGGATAACATGATGGCAGTCGAAACCAACGGCATTGGGTTTGAGTCACGGAGTGAACGTCGACTGTGTGATGCACGTACATCCAGCTGACGAGCTGACGCGCGTTCTGGATTCTACTGCAAGTCACTATCCATCTTTGCTTACAATACTTGTGACTTCAGACAATATCGAAGCAATCTGTACAGGATGCAATTGTGACAATAAGAGAGTGATCAATTGTAGTCCTAAACATAAATGGGATGTTTCAAACAAACAATACAAAATAAACTTAATTCTCACAAATCTAATATATTCGACCAGTGGTAAAAATAATGAATTTTATTACATTATCAGTATTTACCAAAGGATAATACGATTATTTATTTCAAAAGAAAGTTAAAAGGGATTTTATGTGTTCTTTCATTAGGTTAGACGTAAGCTAACTGCTTGAATGATTAATTTAATTTGCATAAGTCTGTTCTCACCTTACACCTACCCTGGTAATATTAGCTTATTATCCAGAATGATGGGGTTTCAAGTTGTTTTCACATTATTATTATCATTATCCTTGTCTACTCCTACCCTCCATTTCCAGCCTAGTTGACCTTCTATTTTTATATATAAATGATTTTAACAATCATATGTTTGATCAGTTTGTTCTAGCTGTATAGCGCTAATATAACATTACATAGTTCTGATAATCTTCGTCATGTTATAACACTATCGAAATAAAATGTATGTTTGTAAAAATGCGCAACAGTTGAAGTGTAAGTTATTCATTCGTAGTTAATTCGTTATTGACTATCAAATGTGTTCTCAATATAATAGCTGGTAATTTTTGTACTCTATGACTGAATTTACCTTTCTGGGTAGTTTTATTAACTTTATATTGGCTGTATGATAATCAAGAATAACAAACACCATCCATCTCTGCTTATAATGTTGTAACTTCACGCAGTACTGAAGCATTCCGTACAGGATGCACTATTGACAATAAGAGAGTGATCAATCGAAGTCCTAAACATAAATAGGAGGTTGCAAACAATTTAGGTATATATTAGAAACTTGTGAAATTTCAAAGGAAGCAAAATTATATTTTTTAGACTTTAAAACAATGTACTATTATATAATATAAACTTTATTGAACACGTTATATCAATTTGAACTCATAAACCTAATGAATATTTAAATTCACTTAGTACTGTGTGTTTGAATCTTCCCATTGATGTTTAAGACTGCAACTTGTCAGCTTACGAGTCCCAAATAGGACGAAATGCACGTCCTGGATTCCACTGCTAGACATTATCCATCTTTGCTATTAATGAATGTTTGTTTTAATCTTGTTCTTACTCCATGTCGTCTAATGATTCCCAGTTGATAGTACTGAAAATGATAATATAGCAAAGTTATCATTAAGTTTACTAACTTATTAGTTTAACTCTAAGACAATTCTCATAAAGTAATAACTTTTCCTAACTTATGTGTTTCTTTCTTTTCTCAAAGGTATGCAACAACTGTTACCAAACGAAATGGAAATCCTTCAATAATTGATTCAAATTCTTATTTCTTAACATTAACACAAGTTCGATTATTATTATTGTTATTAGATGCTATAATTATATTGTCTAGATGTTTTCAAACATTTGAATTTATGCATAATATATGGTTTGGCGATATCAAATTAATTAATGCCAATCATTTAATACATGAAATAAATAATAATTCACAAATAATGATTGATTCATTTGATCATTCAATGCCTCATCATCATCATCATCATCATCACCATCATCATCATTCACAACAAACACAACAAATACATGGTAATTATCATTATCAATCTCAACTTCAAATAAGATCACCTAAACATATACAATTATCTATAGGATCTACACCATTTTTACATCCTTCATCATGCTCATCAAATTTACATGAATCAAATCGTCATTCAATATCTAATGTATGTTGTAATTTTGATTGGTAGAATTAGTTCAGTTTAGTTTTTGCTTGGATGTTGTTGTTATAAATGTAATAAGTGATATATTATGTAAGAAATATAGATTCAATATGGATGCGGTTCATTTAAATATCTACAATTACTATCGATCGGACTGGAAGTAATTTATATATTTTAGTTATAAAGCAATATTTGAGAATAAGTGGTTGTTATATGAAACTTTTTGGATATGGAAAACAATAATCTAGATGAAAGTACATTCATTTGAAGAACAGGACTGCTAACCGCTTTGTAGAACCACACTCGTACACATTCTTGTTTCCTAGTTTAAAGCAAACACTGGTTACGACCTATTCATATCACTCTATAAAACAGCGTGAACTGGTAGACCGGTCAAGGGAACTTATCTTTCAAAAAACTCAGTCGTATAGAAAGTTCCTTTTATAATTGTTGACAGCAGATTTTTAAATATATCAGTAGTTTGGTCACTCCGAAATTCTAGATTTATGTAAAGATATGTCTTTGAAATAGAATTTTGGGATTAATTGTTTAAACTTCCTCTCATATTATTCTCTATGAAGTGGCTTTCATAATCGTTTTCAATGAAAATTTTTCGGAGTAATCCAAATTCTTCATCAATTGATTCAGTGCTACAGGTTCTTCGTATATGTTAACGTAAAGAACGTGTAAGATTTCTGTGTCTATGTAATGTTAAGGAATTTCGTTAGTTGGCCGTTCCATGTTTGTTTGTTGTGAAAAGACTTATTTAGGTGTCAATCACTCCTCCTTATCAGAAGCACATCTGGAAATGAAATACGGTGATCCACTTAATTTTCTAACCTGGAGCCTGTAGCAGGATAGTATGAATTGGAAAAAAAAATGAAAAAATGGCAACCAATTCAACATTATCGTTGAAAGTGACAAATATGTCGTCCATAAGTCTTTTGCATGAACTAACTCCATTGCTGACCGAAACAAGTTGATTGTTTTCGAATTTAGATATGAGACGATCAGATAGGATTAAACACAATGGAGACCTCATTGCTATTCCATCTCTTTGTTTATATATTTTGTTTTTGAAGCTGAACTGGATATTTAAGGTACAACTCAATAACACCTTCAAGTTGTCAGTTGGTAGGTCTACATCCATACCGTTAAAACAAATATGGTCACATATGTAAAACATAGTTTTAGTTAATGGTATATTGGCGAATACAGAACTATGGTGAAGTTACTCATTTGAACAAAATGACTAGCTAGAAATAATGATCCCGTTATTCGATCTACTACATACATATTGGAGTTTTCATTGAGATAATGCAACAGATCACCTTACATTGTTCCAAACCCTAACTAATCTTTCCGTAATAAACTGATGAAGAATATATTCAGTAATTTCAAAACTAGTGAAAATGCCTAATTTAAACTACCATAATTCTAATCTATGAAGTATACACATCAAAAGAACAGGTCTACCTTCACTCGTCACTAGAACCAAGTTGTTTTCCAAATTCTGAGAAGTTTATTCCTATGATTGTTTGAAACGCGACCTGATTCAAAACATACTATATGGTACATGTGTCTTTTCCTTGTTGTTTAATTGTAGGATTTCCCTGCATCAGTAGGCACAAATCACAATAAACCAGTGACTGCCAATCAAACTATTCGTGTAAGTGAATATGAAAGAAAATCTTCTACAGGGATTAATATAACTCAAAACGATCCACCAACACTAAATTTTGATAATGGAACTGGACGTTTTACAGCTTGCTACTGTTGTCTTGATGCTCATTATTTGCTAGTGATAACTGGTATTGGCTTATTATTCATTGGACTAGTTTTAATTTGGGCTACTGATAGACATGTTCGACCAGGATGGCTTTTAGCAAAGTGAGTTGCATGATTTCAATTTTTGTTAAATACTTATCTTTCAAAAAAACCATTACTGATCTGTAAAAGTTTATATATGTTCAGTCTATAAAAACGAAAATAATTACTGCACATTTGTTTCAAATATGAATTATAAGTATGGTTAGCATTAGCTCAGAGCAAAGATTCTTCTTCATCATGTTCCCATCATTGTGTTTACTACTAACGACCCATTAGACGATTTTAGTTAGTCGATAGCATTAAAGGATTAGATAATTCTGACGTCGGTCCTTAGTCGGTGATCGATAAATTGTAAATCAACAGTAAAAATTTACCGCGAAGCTTGAGCAAACTTTATCTTTCATCTTCATTCTCTCACATTGTTTAATTTAGCTATTTTTATAAATCTTATTGGCATAATTATCATTTTGCACATCAAACAGGTAGTTTAAAAATAAAATAAGATTTCATACATATAGTTTCCTTTATCATCATGAAAAGAGAAAGAACGGTTATTTGAGCAGAATAACATGAATTCGTTTTATTTAGTTTGGTTCTCGTCAGCTGCCTACAACTTACAACTTACAACTTACAACAATCATAATTACAAAATGTGTTGAAATTACTTACTTGGAAGAGTTTAGCTGGAAGTTACTCTGATGACAATATCGGTATAGTACAGCAAGGGTATAAATAAATTTAATAAACTGAAAAAAATATGATAAATACACACGTTATATAAAATAACGTTCTACAAGACTGATGGTAACAAAAGTCCAAAGGGCTAAAAACGAATGGTTACTCAGTGTGTAAACGCTGATAATACGTAAAGCTGAGTTAATTAAAATAAGATTACTAATCTAGAAGATAGTCGAAATAAAAACATGTAATGATGCAATTAATTGAAAGAAAGAATTGAAATCAATTCTTATAATATAGTGAAGGAATATTTGTCATTAAGTCAAAGAAACATTAACAACCATCTCATTTTGAACACACCATTCAAGTCTCTGAAGCTAAATAGTAATGCCTTCAGTAAACTTCAGAAGACTGAGGATTGACTATTAATTAATCACCTTGTAAGATTTGAAGACATCGGTGTGATGTCCTGTATCCACGAGATGTTTAGTAGTTGTTCTGTTCAAAGTAGTTCTCTCTCTTAATTGAAAGCTTTTTGGAACACGTTCAGAACATCTCAGATACTCCCTCTTTTCGTTTTAACCAATTTAGTTGCTGTGGGAGGTTCATTTAATTTTATAGATATATTTGTCGGTAACATGTAAGGTTTGCTTATACATAAGTAATAGCTTTTCAAGTTCTGCCATCAGTAAAGCTGGGAGATAACAATACTGACAAATTATGTTGATGGTTTCAAAAAGTAGTATTTTAGTGAACAAGGATGTTACATCAAAAGAAACCATGAACATACCACCAACATTCATACGATTTAGTCTGTCAGCAAATTGGGTTAAATCTCCTAATGTATATGTTACTAATCTCTGATGGACTAGTTCCGGCTTATCAGCTAGGCAGCATGCAACTTTATGATACAGTGAACTGATCATCGACAGAATAGGTCTAAGAGGGATATCATGTTTGTGAATCTTTGGTAGATCATACGTATTCATGCATAAAAGGCGTCCATCAGCGGCGAGTTCTTAGACCAATGTAAGTAGAATAAGCAAATATTTCCATTTTTAAAAGTTCTCTTAGCATGACTATTATTCTATTTTGTTCAGCGTCAGTTAACCCTTATTAGATTTATCTACCTCGAATCTCACTTGATAGTCTAGGATTGACTTGATCTTAATAACATCAGAAGTTGTGTTCATGAAGAAAACAATCGAACTTGTAGCTGGTCGTGATTTTGCTTAATGTTTCTTAAAGCTTGTCGGATGTTAGTCGGATACAATTTTCGACTTTGATGTCGTTGAAGCAAAATATTGGTAGGCAAGATCAACTAACTTTGATTCGAACCAGAACATCTCATTCATTGGATGCAAATCTTTCATCTGGTCAAATAAATTTTCGAACTGAGTCTCTGTATCAATCTTATTTAAACTTGATTTTGTTATGTAAAATTTTAGTCACAGTGATCAGGCTTCTATTTATGTATTATTAAGCTTCATATTCGATAAGTTATAACTACACTTCAAAGGGTTTTTTGAGAACCCTACATATAGATGTTCTGTTATCAGATTTTTCGAGAGAGATTTATGAGAATTCTTCCAAACCTTGATTTAAAGATTGTGAATAACCTTGATCAATTTTGTCCGACACGATTTCTACGTCATTATACACTTTATCTGAAACACTGGGTTCATTTCTTAGTTAAGTAATAAGTAAATTCGTTGATTCAATATGCGATTTAGTGATCCATTAGAAGTCTTCAAGTGAGGGTGGTAGTTTTGTAATAGTGGTTTTCAAATATCATATGATGTAAGAAGTTGACGATGACCAAACTACATAAAATGAATTCACGTTATTCTGCTCTTATTCTGGCTCTTTTCAAAAACTGATATGTTACTGTAGAGATGATCAGGTCGAGGTTTCAGTGAAAATCAACTTAACATGCCTAAAGACTCACATCTTTTGTATGTACTAACAGAAATAAATCTTATTTTATGTTGGAGTTCATCAGATTTAGATAATAAGTGACACTTTCTAATTTACTACACTACCTTGATATATCTTATCTTTTAATAATAAGAAATTGTTAGTTTGCATGTTACTTAACTGTGTGTAAAGTTGTAAGATAGAGTTTAGTTTGATTTTGAGTGAATAAGAATAGGTGGCTTAGATATAATAGGTGTTTAGTTTTAAAATCCAATTATCAATGAACAGTAGACTCAATTCATGCTATCGTTTGCTCAATGTATGGATATTGGTAATGCATAAGATGATTACATAATAATAATAATAATAATAATCCTGTATTCAGTACACTTAATGTTTGTGGATGATGTCAGTGTAAATACTTTTCTTGATATGTAGAATTCAGTCTAATAGTTTAATCATCTTCCCCAATACAACAGAAAATAAAAGTTATTAACAAAGAAAGTATAAGCGTAACATTTATGTAAGAGATTTTACAGTATCTCAGTTAATTCATTTCTAGCAAATATGAACTATAAGCATTTTATTAAAAAGTCAGCATCTGCGTTTTCACATAGATTACTGACAATAAACAAGTTTTACTTATTTGCTATTTTTTCTTATAAACCTTTTTTCATGTAAGAGTTTACAAATACGAAAACTAAGTATCCTTTCCTTCATACTTGAAAGCATGAGTCAATTGAAGCTAGACCACCAAGGAAAACCTGGTGGCACTGGATGACCGTTTCATCCTAATACGGGACTCCTAGGCAGTGCGCATTCACAACCTCATCTTGCGAGATTCGAATCAAGGACATACCAGTCTCTCACCAGAGCACTTAACCGATAGATCACTGGACCGGCATCTGACGATGTAAATGTCTTATTTCAACCAGTCCACGAAGTTGAGCGACCGTTCACCAATTGTCTTCAATGAGTTTCTATCTCACAACAGACTTGGTTGAACTCCAATAGTCACTGCTTCTCACTAGAACTCCAGGACGTACCTCTCGAAGTCAGTGGTGGATGCGCACTGCTGAGGAGTCCCACAATACGACGAAACGGCCGTCCAGATTATCCTTGATGGCCTAGCTTTAATTGACTCATGCTTTCAACTATGAAAATACTGAAATCTCCACAAAACTCTCTTCTGATAATAATATCTTTTTTTTCATTGTTACCTTCGTAACAATTTTAAATGCTGATTTTATATTGCTTACATTAGTTGTATATTATATTTGGTGTATTTATATTGCCTTCTTCACTTTACTAATCATAAAACAACATTAGAAACTCTAACTTTTCTACTCATTGGGATATTACAAATATATACTTTTTTGATTTATAACCATCTACTCAATGCTTAATTTATTGGAAATTATACAGTCAAGCCTTAGTAATAACACCTACATCCTTATGTAAAGCTGTTTATTTCATTTACAATTTATAATCAATTCACTTAGAAGAAGAGATATATACAGATTTAATGAGTACATGCAATGTATTAATAGCAAAATAAACAAACAATTAAGTGGATAAAAAAATGACGTTTGTTAAAAGAACACTTATTGAAAAAAATAACTAAAACTGAGACCAGTAAGAAAAAGAAATATCACATTAATTATAATATCGTTGTGTGGGTTACTTGTATCCATATAAGTAGTATATGGTGATGGTCAGGCATAGAATGTATTTCACTAGAAGATTGATAAGGAAAAAACCGGTACAGAACGCAATTGGTATGAAAATGCACGAACAATGAAAAGAGAGATGATGGACTGATATTTGCGGGAGAAATAGTCAAGATTGCGACAATTGTTTGGTAGTTTTCAAATTAACTGTTTACTGTATGGTTGTCAGATTTTAGTCTGTAATTTCCGTGTCAAATACATTCAATTGTCCCCACTACTGTTCTTGTTCACTAGAATATTAAATCAAATAAGAACAATTTCGAAATAAAGAAATATCTGTGAAGAGTAACTAAATAAATAATAATAACAGTAGAGGATAAGCAATATAACAGTGGAACAGGATGTATTATTTAATTATTTATTTAAACACATAAATATTGGTACAAGAAAGCACCAGATATATATGCTCCACACAAATCTTATTCAATTTGTGTTAGGGCTGTGATACTGCCCAGGTGCCCAAATTGAAGCAGGTGGTTTTCTTAGGCGGCCACACTCGGAGCCTTCGACCGAAAAATCTGATCCACAAGTCAGTGGAGCATCGTGAGGAGATGCATTCCCATGGTAGCCGGTGACCAACGATCGATTCATACGCCATTTGTTCCTTCAGGATACTGGAGACCATATGCACCATTGGTTTGGAATCAGGGTTTTCCAACTCCCCTAAATGGACTTGCCGTTTACATCAACCCGGTTAAAGCACCGAACATTCGCTTTTCGTCTTTCCAATTTCGT